AACTACCAGATCCTAATGTAGTACCATCAGGAGAGTAACAAATTGAATTAACTGTTGATAAATGACCATTTATTTTGGCTTTTTATTATCCTGTCTAAACATCCCAAAAACGGATAGAGTTATCATCACTACCAGATGTTAATGTAGTACCATCAGGAGAGTAACAAATTGAATTAACTGAATTTGAATGACCATCTAATTTGGCTTTTTATTATCCTGTCTTAACATCCCATAAACGGATAGACTTATCACAACTACCAGATGCTAATGTAGTACCATCAGGAGAGTAACAAATTGAATAAACATGTGATGAATGACCATCTAATTTGTCTTTATATTATCCTGTCTTAACATCCCATAAACATATAGAGTTATCATGACTACCAGATGCTAATGTAGTACCATCAGGAGAGTAACAAATTGAACTAACCTAACTTGAATGACCATCTAATTTTGCGTTTTATTATCCTGTCTTAGCATCCCATAAACGGATAGAGTTATCTGCACTACCTGATGCTAATGTAGTACCATCAGGAGAGTAACAAATTGACATAACATAATAAGAATGACCATCTAATTTGGCTTTTTATTATCCTGTCTTAACATCCCATAAACGGATAGAGTGATCCTAACTACCAGATGCAAATGTAGTATCATCAGGAGAGTAACAAATTGTTCTTACATCATGTGAATGACCATCTAATTTTGCTTTTTATTTTCCTGTTTTAAGATTCCATAAATATACAAATTTTCCACTGCTAAAAGCTAATGTGCTAGTATTATGTGAGAAGCATACTAATTTAGCTTTTTACTATACCTTGATTCTAGACTTACTTTTTCCTGTTTTAACATCCCACAATATAATCGAATTATCATCACTACAAGACGTTAATTATTTACCATTTGGAGAATAGCATACCTAATTGACAAATCCACAATGACCATCCAATTTATTTAACTCATGAATTTTGATATTTTTCCATTTACAATTGAACAATTAAGCTTGATTCAAATTTATTCCACTAATATTGACATTGTCAAATTTTGATCCATTGAATATGCACCTTACAAAATTTCCACCAACTAAAGAGGTATTTCTTATCTTGATATTCTCAAAATTTTATTCCCTCAAATCCACTTTCATTTAAACTAGCAAATGAAGAGAATTTGATCCACACCAAATATAGGTCTCATCTAAAGCAGTCAGATGAACTAAAAAATTTAGGAATTCTATTATTTTCTTATTCAATGATATTTTTGTGATTAGATCCTTTTTAAATTCTTCATAATCATCCATTGAATAATTCTGAGTATTAAAGTCATGATCCATAACTTTTTTGAGGACATCTGTTATTATCTTAATGTTCTTCTCTCCATTAAGAGTCTATTCTTTCTCAAGCAGAGATTAGTTTTCTACCTTTTAACTTTCTTTTTCTAAAAGATATTTGTTTTGATCTTACGAGAGAAATTTTAGGCAATCTTAAATTCTCTCCTTTTTTAATGTCTCAATGAGGATAGGGAGGACTACTTCATCAACCTCATTGGATAATGACAAAATCTGATACAACTCTCCAACCTACTCTTGTTCACAATACATTTTCTTTTTTTAAAATTAATAATGAATTTCTATTACTATATTTGAGTTTTATATTACAAACAAAAGTATCTAACACTAAATATTATGGAAGATAGATAAGCGATTTAGTGTTGTAAATTGTACAAAGGAGACTCATTAACCTTGTGCATAATTGAATTCTTAAAATATAGAATAAAATAAATGATCACCAGCATCAAATAATCACCAAGATATGCATTTATGATTAAACATTCATATGTTCAATTTATTACTTTCAAGCATTTAAATCGTTAGCATTGAATTACTGAAACCCACAGAGGGTTAAGAATAATGTCAAGTTTAAAGAGTGAAATATTTTTTTCAATCAGATTTATTCAGGCTTGTGTTTAAAATTACTCTCGCTTTTGACTGATATTATTTCTATAGGTTATAGATCATAATAATATATTTATAAATATATAAAGTTTTCTGAAAATAAGAGATCTCTTTCTCAGTTGAAGAATTTTGGAAGCATTACAGATATTCAACTTACACATATTCAATAATTATTAGAACCATTTTGCTTAGAAACATTAACAATTTACAAGAAAATGAATAAAATTGAGTTGATATTGTTGTATTTTTAATGACTTTTAATAAAATCAATTTTGTTTCTATTTTAGACCATTCTCTAAAATTAAACTACCTTTAGATTTAAATAATGATCGTAAATTATATCCTCTATAATCAAAAATTATCCTATCAAGGCTAGAGCTCCTTAAGCATCTAAATTGGGATTTTAGGAAATTTTAAAATGGTGGTACAAGTGAGAGCTAAGAAAAGTGAAAAGAAATACCACTTTCTCGAAGAACATTATATTAGATAGTTGAAGTATCTGATTGAAGAATTTCCTTTGATGTTTATACATCCCAAAGTCGGATAGAGTTATCATCACTACCAGAAGCTAATGTATTTCTATCAGGGGAGAAATTGACTGAATAAACTGTTGATGAATGGCCATCTAATTTGGCTTTTTATTATCCTGTCTTAACATCCCATAAACGGATAGACTTATCATGACTACTAGATGCTAATGTAGTACCATCAGGAGAGAAACAAATTGAATAAACCAAATTTTCATGATTATTACCTGTATAAATTTAATAAAATTAAAAAATTATTCATCTTGAAATTTACAGACATTCCAATCCATATATAATTATGGCCAATTTAATTTTCGATCATCCCTAATAAACCACTATGTAAATAACTTAACTAGGTCATGAATTAAAATATAATTGGCTCATCATGGTAGCCCCAAACTACTTTAAAAAAAGGATGGTTTTTGAATGGATAAAGAGTTGATAAACTATTTGAAAATTTCAATTTACAATAGTGGGCAATTTTCACCTAACATTGAGTATGGGAACAACTTCGTTATGAAAATTTCAAAAGATCGTTAAAAAGGCAGATCAATTTAACTTTAACGGAGAAAATGATTTTCAAGTATTGGCAATTTAATTAAATTCAAAAGAAACCTATCTATTTGGTTTAGAGATAAAAAATCTAAATAAATATATCAAAAAACTTATTTTTTGATTAACTTAGTTAGGTTTAAGCTACT